GTGTGGGACCTGACCACATCGCTGTGGCGAATGTAATATGACAACATCCATGTCTGTCCCGAGGCCCGAGTCAGATCGCATGGAGCGATGGGCGAAAACATACAGCGCACACGGCAGCCGCTAGAGCCGCCAGGGATGAGACGTGACCTCGGGCTTGCTGCGTAGCACCAACTTTGTTGGGACAGCCGGTCAGGACAGAGGCATATTCCAGCCCCGATTTTGTCGAGACCGTGTCTTGATGCTGCTAACAATTTCGCACCAGTTGCCCCGGAGGGCTTTCAGCAGGGTACAGTACGTCAGCCACATGGCCCTAACAATTATTGAAAGACGTCCATGCTTGGGAAGCGCGGAGCGGGCACGCTCGGGTATAACAGAACATTGGTAGGCTTGATACGAGAAGTATTGTCCTCATCCGTTCGCGATCTTGACGTGCGGTTCGCCTTCGTCAAACATGCCCGTACGAACAGCCCTGTGCTTGGTTCCGTACAACTAAGTACAATCGCGAATGCTTGGGTGAGCGTTGTGCGGCTCAGCGCGAGTGCGGGTCACAGTTATCGCCGAAAGCAGTTGGTGTGGCAGAACCCCCGTTGCAGAGTCTTGAGAGGGCAAATCCTCTTATACGGCCTTGGGATAATCAGCGGACTGCGTGGCCAACACTGCAAAGTGGCGCACTGGAGGGGCGCCGGAGCTGTCGCAATCAGGGTCCGCAGCCGCAGTTGGTGCAATGCGATTGATGTGAGTTGGGGGCTGTGTGTAGGGTGCGGATTGGTGCGTATGTGGGTGGGTGACTAGAATTGCCAATTTTGTTGTGTACGTTTACCTAGCACCTTAATTGAACGTTATTTTGTAGTCGCATCAGTTCTGTAACGGTGCCTGTGAAATACCTCAACACGAGTTTGGTTGGTGCAAATCTGCGTCGTGAGCGGCTGTTTTAGTTCTGGGCGAGGGTCGTAGTACCTTATTCGGCTGAGGAGCCATCCCACTTCCAACTTGGCTCCAGTGCCCCCAAATGTCAGAAGGAAATTGTCCTAAGCTGCGGGGAAGCTAGTTAATTGGCGTATTCCTGGGCATGTTTTGTCATTTTTCATTGCTTAGCCCCTCCCCCTGCTCCTCCAAACCCATTTTGCTAGACTATGTTCCTGGCCATGGCAACTGTTTGGCAGTAGGTGGTGATGAATGGTGTTAACAAACTGGTGCTACACACACAGTGACATGGTTTCACAAAGTGAGTTGGTTGGTCTGAACAGTGAATAATACCCAATGAGCCCCAAAAATATGCCAACTAACAGGTTTCTCCACAAATTTTGTCCATCGTCTTCTCAAGCTGGGTGGGGGTTCCCAGCCTCCTCTCCAAGTTGGGGTAGGGGGCTGAAGCCCACCTGACTGGATATGAAATTATACCCCTGGGAACAAGGCTCTGGCTTTGAGAGCTCCTTTGGCAGTTCTACTTTTACAAGTGCCTGGCACATTCAGAGCTTGGTTGATAGGTCATAACAATGTATATATTATAGAAGTTTATATCAAAGTGACAGTAGCATTGAGCCTGTGACAGGCTACCAAATTTATTAACAATGGATCCATGTCTTCTACTGCAAGCTGAATTTGTAGTGTCAGTTGTACCAGACTAAGCACATTGATGCATGAGATAAGTGTACACAAGAGTGGATCCAGGTGATAGCTGGGCCATGCCCCCCTACCCCCAGAGATATGTGTCAAGCATTAGATAATACATGGCTGGATTTGAAAAATGTTGAGGTTATTTTAACAATTGGAATTCAGCATAGAACAGTTTTTAAGATAATGAAAATGAAATATGGTTATTTTTTGCAAAAATTATACCCTTATATAGACATGACCATTGCAATCTTGGGGAGGGGGGCAACTGACCCAACAGTGTCATGTCCTACTTGAGGCGGCCAGTTAAGGAGAAGGTGACATAGTTTGGGATGTAAAATTAAGCAATTTTTACTAAGAAGTGTTTTGGAACACTCCTGGAGACAAAAAGTGAAATCTGATCAGTTTCTGAGAGTCAGGACACTTACAACTTGATCCTTCATGCTGCTCCTAATGGCAACACTCTGGATCAATCCCTGAGCATATGTGACCTGGCTTATACCATGACTTGATTAATGCTCCAGTTGAAGTAAACAGGTGGAATTGAGCACATACTCAAACTCAGTTTGTTGTGGCATTTGCCAGGGTTATTACATATCCTGGATTTTCTTTTTGGCATCACAGGTGCTTGGCACTTAATGTACAAGCTCAGAAGGCTGTAAAATTAGGCTTATAATTGACATTGTGGGCCAGGAAGAATTCCATATGTGGGTTGGCATTTCATGCTGTATTGGTCTTGAAGATCCATGCTGTTTGTATGTGTTTGCATGGGAACTGTAAACCAAAAGACCCATTAACTGCCCCCTCTCAATCATCACTTGCTAGTACTAGCCTTGTTTTTAATGCCCTTGTCTGTAGCTAACATTGTACTTCAAGGCCATGTTATGGGTGCTACATGACCATGCAAACCAGGCACTCTGAAGCTCCAATATCACTACTTTACCTAGTCCAGGGCTGTGGAGCTATATTCTTCAGCCAAGAAGGTGATATAATCTTGCTGAGGTGCCTGAAGATAAACCAGCTGACTTGAAACAAGTTCATGCATAATGCTTGTTTTTGTTTGTCACCAAAGGCAGTGACCATTTGAGTGATACTGTTATCTATAGCTAGGACATGTCCACCTTCCCTCAGGCTCATCATGGACATAAGAGGATCTCAGCCAGGACAAGCACCCCCTCCATGTGACCCTTCACACAATGAGGAGGCTGATGCCAGACAGGGGTCACCAGAGCAGCACAGTTTGTCACGGCACATCCCGTCCACGGCGACTGCCGCTCCGCCCAGTGCTGTGTCGCGCCACAGCCCTGAACCTGTGCCTGGGGCATCTGGAACGTCACCAGATGCCCCAGCTCCAGCCAGCTTCAGCCCGGGCCGGCCGGCCGGCGCGGCGCGCTCGTCGCCCCGGCGGCCCCGCCGGAACCGGAGCGAGCAGCCGCCGCCTGCCGACGCACCGCCCGGCGACGGTCGGCCGTCCCCGCCCGGTGGCGCGGCGTCGGCTCCGGCTGATGGCCGTCTGCCTGCCCTAGCCCCGGCCGATCTCGCCGCACAGGTGAGCGCTAAGCGCCAGCTGGTGGCTTCTTTGTAGCCACTAGGTTCGTTTGGATCTTTTTACTTGTTCTTATGATAAAAGGTACATATGCTGTGATGTCTGTAGCCATCACTTGTGGGGGTTGTCTTGCATACAGAAGACTGCTGCTTGTGTAATGCAGTCATGCAACTTATGACATCTTTATCCGCAGCCGTCACTTGGAGTAGAAAGCCCCGGAGACGTGAACACAACACAGTTGGATTCCCGGGGTCAGAATGCTCATGATGCCACTGGCCAGCTGTCCTCCAAGCCGCAGTCGCCCTCGGTGGACAAAGCAGGTACGTCATTGGCTCATGTTCGGAGTATTTTCGGCCAGAATCGCACTGTCGGCTTGTTCGGAAGTCGTCACGCTCATGAACGATATCATGTGTCTGCAAGCAGGTTGACCAGCGATTGATTCTCCGATATGACAAAGGCGACTAGTTTTCTGACATAAAGACATGAGATGACAAATTGTTCAATCTTTCATAATGGTATGGCAGGAAAGACATGACATTATATGGTCTTACGTAAACAATAACCAATTCCGTGCTGGGCAATATGCAATCCAAGCATGCAACCTCCAAATGCATGTATGAGCACTGCTTAGTCGGGCCCATCACCCTGGAGCTGACGTGTTCTCCCTGACCAGGTTCGGACGGGCCGGACTGCGCCATCTGCCTGCAGGCCTGCGTCCACCCCGTCCAGCTGCCCTGCCTCCACGTCTTCTGCTTCCTCTGCGCCAAAGGAGCTGCCAAAAACTCCAAACGGTACCGTGGGGCGGCGGTCCGGGCCGATATATCTGTCGTGCGCGCGCGCCCAGCACGCAGCAATGAGACACATTGTGTGTTGTGTCGCGGGACGAGCGGGGTGTCCAGAAGCCGCGGGATGTGACGTCACGCCTTATCAACCCAGATGCGCACCATGACGGAGAGACGTGCTGTATGGCTCAAACGCTTATCATACAGCCATCACTGCCCCCAGCCTGTGCCGTGAGCGAGGGCGCACTGTTTGAACGCGATGTGCGGCGTCGCTGTCCGAGTGTGGAGTGTGCGCACCGAGCCGTGACGGGGCACGTGACGGCGGCAGGTGCGCCATGTGTCGCGCTGACCTGCCCCTCGACTACCTGGAGCACCCACGCCTGCTCAACGAGACTCAGCTGCAGCGCGAGATGGCGCTCTCCGAAGGCTACCAGTGGTTCTATGAGGGCAGAAATGGTGAGAGCCTGGGGTTGGGGCTTACCGGAACAGGGTTTTAGAATGAAGTGTGGAAAATTGCGACCTATTTTCCTCTCCTCACTCACCAAGTGCTACATTTTGGTTTGTGCCAGTGAGTTCCTCATCATGCCGTCAAGGTTCTGCAAAGTTGGGTCGTAACGCGGGCCCAACGGAAAACAAGTCTCGTTTTGCAGAATGGTCGGTATAGCGTTTTGGTTGGTATAACGTTACGGCCGAAGACGAGGTACTTACGTGCCAGTATTTCCGGTGGTAGGAATTTGTTGGCACAGAAAAGCATCATTTGAAATGAAACTGTGCTCGTTCTAGCAGAGGCAAAGTGAAACGCAGGTTAAGATAGACCCAACCTTTTAATAGGTCCGCGCTGGCACACTGAACAGTATTGCACAGGTGGGAAAATTTTGGCGAATGACGTGAAGAGCCTGCGCACATAATGTTGAATGTGTTTGGGTATTGGTTCAGCACCGAAGGACTCGCGCCTCGGGTGCAAATTTGTAGTAGAGTTGGTTTCGATCAGTCCATGCCATGTTCGACTAAACGTTGGTCCCGGCCTGGCGGGGCTCGGAACAGTTCCCCGGTTAATGTTCTTGACGCCCCACTATCATTTTTGCATTCCCGTCTGAGAGCACATGCGGCCGGCAATTAATATCGGGTAATTGTCTGGAATGTTTGAAAATTTCCGGAGTGCCGGTCGGCACCGCCAACACAAAGAAGTGCCGCAGATAATTATCCGTGCCAAGCGATAAGCTCAGATAACCTCCAGGGCATGGTCAAGATCGACAATTGTTCGCTATGCCTAGCTACGACCGTTAGCTATGCATGACACACGTGAGGCGACGCTATGGGATAATATCGAGACCCGCCGACCGCGAATGGAGAATTTCCTTGGATGATTATTGAACAGAAGTTAGTCGATAAATTTTCCTCGGTCAATCGAAAGCGCGCTAAAAGAGTCGGTTTTCAGCCATGTACTGGATGCAAGCATGCACGGAAAGAGTCTCTGAGTGCCGCTGTGAGGGAATGGCGCTCTCGCACCACCAGGCTGGTGCAAGTACGATGATCAGCGTGAGGTAGCGTAGAGCCAGCGTATGTGTGCGGGTGGCCATACTGACCGCATGGGCCTGCGCCGTCAGGCTGGTGGAAGTACGACGAGCGGACGAGCGCCGAGCTGGAAGCGGCGTTCAACGGCGGCCAGAAGCGCGCCGAGCTGCTGGTGGCCGGCTATCGGTACGTGGTGGACCTGGAGGCGATGCTGCAGCTGCGGCGCTCCGACCCGGCCCGCCGGCGGCGGGTCAAGCGTGACCTGGCCTCCGAGCCCAAGAAGGGCGTGGCGGGCATCCGGCTGGGAGGGCAGCCGTCGCCGCCGGCCGGGGACGCCGCCGTGCCGGCCGTGGAGGTGGCGCTGTCCAGGCTGCACATCGGCCAGCCGCCGCCGCTGCCGGAGGAGGAGGGCGAACAGCGGTGGACGCTGCACCTCGACTCGGACGAGGACCTGCTGTGATCGGGCTCCCGGGAGCCGGGGGAGGGGCTGCCCGGCGCGCTCGGGAGCCGGTCGCTCACGCTGCGGCTGGATGTCTCGTGTGCGCTGAGGATCGCGCCAGGGCCCGGCGCGCTGGAGGGAGGCGGCCACCGGCGGACGTGGTTATGGCTACTTCCTGTGTTGAATGGATTGGGGTTCGGCTCGGTCTGTCCCGACACCTGGCGCGACCATTGCTATTGTTATAAACTGAAGGCTTTATCTTTATTTGTGTTAACCCATACGTGCGTTTATGTGTCGTGCACACGATGGAGCAGGTGCGCGATGTCCTTTACTCAGTGTCAACGTTCCAGATGATGGCTCAATACAGCATCGACGCCGGGTGTAAATGTCGGTCACTAGTGATGTGTTGGCTGGGTTTGGAGACGCAAGTTTGTGGATCAGCGTATTGGGTAATATAAGTTTGAGGTACGCGCACCTTTTATCCGAAGTTGTTGGCAACTGGGTTGTAACAGGGATGCGGATGGCGCCGCGGCCGCACCTTCCGTCGGCTCCAGGTCGAATGGGAATCTACTGTTGAATCTGCCAAACTAAGTACAGGCCTGTTCCACCTGTTCCACAGAGGCTGGTTGGACGGGTGATTAAAAGGCAAGCGCGTTAACAGCCGCCGGGTGGTAGTCTTCAGCCCAAAACGGGCGATCTGAACCGCAGTCATCCTGCGAGAGAAGCCATCCGACAAATCAGGGAAGCGACGTCTCTCACGGCAGTATTGCTTTATTGAACTGATCTGTCACACGAGTGTCACACAAGGTGCTTGTTCGGCAGTACACCGCAGCCGAGCAGATTGTCACAGCGATGAGATCACACGCAAAAGGCGAGGTAAGCAAGGTAACCTCTTGAACACAATGACAAAAGATCCTACCCTTCTTGTTCACATACGCAGGGGCTTACCAAACCCCATTACAGCCTCAACCAAACGTAAGTACTTGACATCGACACAATGTACATTAAATCACAGTGACATATGATGCATCAAGCAATTCATAACTCGCATCACTGGAAGATGGCCGTTGAAAGGCATGCTGAAAATTGTCATAGATTCCGGGTAAGTCCGTCCTCGCTGGCACGATTAAGTATAAGCCTACCTGAAGCGATAAAATGTGTACCTCAAATTTCAAAGTCGCCACAGCTACGTACCCTTCGTGGCTAAGAGGGTGTAAATCGACACGCTCTACATTTACAAACCGAATGAGTTCGCACAAAACGTATTTCACACATCAACAGAACGGACGTGTAAGTTAAAAGAATTCGCTGACGACACAATGCAGCCGCTGGCACGCGCCGCACTTGTGCTGAAACACACCCTGACTACGCATAACATGTTCGTTCGGCTCGGCCTCCCGGCGCTTTCTCATGAGGAACGCTGTGATTGCAAACGAGGGTAACACACTGGTGACTGGCGCGAGAAGACAACTGGATCACACAGGGCCCGGCGGACGCAGTCTGCTCATGTTGAATAATCGCTGGCACTGTCGGCTATCCTGTCGACCGCCTCACCAAATGAATACTGGCTACAATGCACGGACAACACCAAACACGGAATGAACTTGAAAAACGAGTTCTGCACCACTAATCCGTCGCTTAGACCGTGGCGCACTACATATGGGTAACTCTGTGTGAAGCGCTGGTGGCACGATGCGCCAACCCTTCCTAAAATAAACCCTCATGGCCGGCCCACCTGAACGCTACCCGACGGGACACCGGTCAGCGTCAACGGTCCTGACCGGCTCCTGACAGTGCCATCCTCGCCACCGGCTAAAACACCACACGAAGTGGGTTTCAAAAACAAAATGCGCCTGAATATCCCAGCGCCAGCGCAGTCAGCCAGCCACTGCCAGCGGCGGCGGCGCGGGCCACTAGCAGACGGCGCGGAGCGCGAGCCACGCGTAGCCGGCTAGCGTGCCTCCGACCAGCACGCGCGCGTAGAGCCAGCGACCCACGGCGGTGCCGAACAGAGGCACCGCCAGCGCGGCGTACAGCAGCAGCGACGGCACGGTGGCCGACAGCGGCAGCCGGTGCCGCCGGCCGCGGAACCGGGCCGCCATCTCCTGCGCCGAGCCGGCGGCCTGTGAGTAGAACGGCGCCACGATCCTGTCCGGACAGCGGCGCCAGTGAGCGGGGCGCGGGCACGAGCAGCAGCCGCAGCCGCCACATATCGAGGGAGCCCGGGGCCGGGAGCAGGCCCCTCTCCGGGAATGAGTTCTGAGGAACGGTGTTGTGCCCGACGAAGCATGCTGCCTTTCCTCGTCTTGTGGGGTCTTGGACACAGGTACACGGCACAATGCTCGCTTTTATGTGAGAGGAAATCATGGAGATAGGGTAGGATGGGATCAGTAGGATTCCCTACTCTCGCAACCAGTTGTAACAATAACGCCTTTGTTTTCGATGCCAGATTTCGTTACAAGCGACTGTTAAGCAACATGGCAACATGGACTGAAATTTGATGGAATGAGTAGCGTACGGGAGGATCTTGCCTGTGGTAGACAAACGGCGTTGCATGGTAAATAATCGTGCCGTCGGACTATAACCGAGGCGACGCGTCAGGCAATGTGGACTCTCCACCTCCCCCGTGGAGCTGGGCTATTTCACAAGACCTGGAAAGCCCCGTGACCATTTTGGCGTCGAAGCCTTGTGTCATTAAATGGGGCCTCACTAAATCATCAAATTTAGATCCAACATATAACGGAAACGCCGGCCCATCAGCTTGATTGAGCCGCTCTACACACCTGTCTTTCTCCTGGAACAGCTGATGAATCCACCGTTGGAACGCCTCCTCAGTCTCCGGCACTTCCGACATGGGGATTCGGCGCACGTGGATGTGCATGGCCGGACAAAAACCTCGCAGGAAGTCTGAACGAAACACCAACAGTCAACCGTCAGCGTGTGCAAGTGTGTCATTGGGACTTTACGACGCACTCAGATGCCGAGGCTACATAGCGTCGCCTGCCTCTTACCCTGGCGGGAAGGGCGGGCACCGCGGGGAATCGAACACCGGACCTCTGGTTTCCCAGACGCGCAGTGGTTAACGCAGACGCGGACGCAGACGCATTACTCACTACACTACCGGCATCCCCATCAACCGCCAGCGAATCCCATACATGGCTAAGAACTTTTAAAACCTGCACTACGCAAAGTAAGCACGGTACAGCAGCTCACAGCGCTACATTTGTAGCGTGCGTTTTGCAACGGAAAGCACAGTACTTAAAATCACAGTGGCACGTAACTTTTCACTTGCTGCTGGAAGGAGCTAACAAAGTATTCAATGAAATGCATGCTAACCCACAAGCTCAAGAACGAGAGAAATGCGGGATATTCGAGAATGTGTCATTACGGCTGCATAGTTCAGTGTTACAGGATGACTGGCCGGACCCCGTCAGCTTACCGATCAGCGCCACCGTCCTGGCCCGCTTGCCCTGGCTGTGGCTGTAGCTCCCCTGGTACACCACTGTGACGTCATACAAGGCGTCCAGATGGCGGCGCACCTTGTCCAGAGTCAGCCACGTGCCTGTCGCACAGGGCACAGGGTCAGTCACGAGCCTGTCACACAGGGCACAGGGTCAGTCACGTGCCTGTAGTACAAGGCACAGGGTCAGTCACGTGCCTGTCGCACAGGGCACAGTGTCAGTCACGTGCCTGTCGTACAAGGCACAGAGTCAGTCACGTGCCTGTCGCACAGGGCATAGGGTCAGTCACGTGCCTGTCGTACAAGGCACAGGGTCAGTCACGTGTCTGTCGTACAGGGCACAGGGTCAGTCACGTGCCTGTCGCACAGGGCATAGGGTCAGTCACGTGCCTGTCGCACAGGGCACAGGGTCAGCTATGTGCCTGTCTCACAAAGCGCAGGGTCGGTCACGAGCCTGTCACACAGGACACAGGGTCAGCTATGCATCTGTCTCACAAAGCGCAGGGGTCGGTCACGAGCCCGCCACACAGGACACAGGGTCAGCTATGTGCTTGTCCCAAAAAGTGCAAGGTCGGTCACGAGCCTGTCACAGAGCACGAAGTCGGCCTCGAACTTGACATGCAGCGTAAATGTCCAGCCACGATTACCACTTTACCACACCATGCAGTCAGACCAGGCCGACCACACAGTGCAGAGGGTCGGCGGCGGGCCGAGGCCGAGGCGCACCTTTGCTCTTGGGCGTGAGGTGGTGCTGCAGAGGCTGCAGATCGCTGGCCAGCGCCAGCCGCTCGGAGCGTGCGATCACCTCCGGCTTGGAGGGGTCGTAGCGCGTGCCCTCGGGGAACAGGACGATCCACGACTGCTCGGCGGCAGGCGCAAAAGGACCAGTTCAGTCGGCGGCCACACACAAATCACGCTAAAAAATATGCGAAACGAAACAAACTATATAACACAAAAGACAAAAGACTTACGCCCCAACTGAACAGGAAACTACACCCTTAAGCAAAGCCCACATCTACAAAGAATATGCACAAAATGTGCAAAGAATATGTACAGGGAATATGTACAAAATGTTGAGACCCTACACACGAAGAACAGCTGACAAGTGTCACATCACTATGCAGTGACAATCCCTTAGTTTGAGTGAAGAAATGAGTTGATAGTCGTAAATGACGAGCTTCGAGCTTTGAATCGAGATCTTCTTAAGATTGAAAAAGCACCACTGCAATCGCAAAGCAACGCATCTCCCTGGCGGGTTTAGTCAGCCTGTCGTTAACACCATAGTCGCCTGGCCGGTTCACGCACCTGTATCCGCTCCTGCTGCAGGTACTCGAGGCTACGTATCATCTTCTGCTGGCTGAAGCGGCCGCGGCGCACGTAGATGCAGCCGTGCTGATAGAAGTAGTGGCCGTACAGCGGCAGCCACTGCAGCCCGTCTTTCATGACGAAGCGCAGGTGGCCCAGCGCGCCCTGCCGCACCGCCACCATGTTGCAGGCGATCCAGTCCACTGCAGCACACAGGGAGGGGTGGACGGGTGGTGGTCATGGCCGGCAGCGGTGGCGGCAAATCTGACGAGGTGAAGGGCGACGGCAGCGCAGGGAGGGCAGTGGGGGGGGGGGGGGGGGGACTCGCCAGGTGGCCCAAAGCGCCCTGCTGCACCACCATGTTGCAGGCGACTGGCACCACCATGGCCCAGGCACCACCATGTTGCAGGCCCACTGTGGCACGGATGGGGGGTGGAAGGGGGTGGGGGTAGGTCATAGCCGGCAGCGATGGCGGCGAATCTGACGAGGTGACGGCCAACGGCAGAGTAAGGAGGGAAGCAGGAGGGGAGGGGGACTTGCTTGGCTCAAGCTGGGCATAACATTGGGCATTCCACGAAACACGTAAGACCAACTCTGGACATATTCATGAACCGGCCGCAGGAGCAAGACAGCGGCACCCATTGCCACCTGAGGTGGGGGCTATCCATAGGGCCCTCAGATCCGAGGCCGGGCTGGCTGGGGGCTAACACGCACCCGGGTGGAGGGTTGAGTGCGACGCGCTCGGGTTGGGGTGGGGTGTGGGTTGGGGTTATGTTACCCCTAAGATCTAAAAAACCTAAGAGAGTCAGGATATTCCGAATTCGTATGACGATCTGTATTCGAACCCACTTATGTCATAATTTAAGGTTCATAGGTCATGATCTGCAGGAAACAAGGTCAAACTTCAAATAATTCTAAGAAGTGCCTTCAGACCTCCTAATGCAACCACCTTCAACCTAGACACCCCTTTTCAGCGAGAGTCCATTGATGGTCAGATCAGTTGTGACCATGTTTGACAGTCAAAAAGTCAAGTGGATCAAAAACCTCCGAAATTGCTTTGATGTTTGAATTCGAGTCGGCGCAAAGGCCGACACTAGGACGTATGCCTCGCGAAATAAAACGTTGACCGGGTTACTGACCTCCTCTCACTTTAATCAAGTCAGAATATCATGTCTGTTGACATCCCTGTGATCAATACACTTGACATGAGCACATTGGTTTTGATTTTGTCTTGACCTTCATACCTGACAAAGGCAATGGAATGAGTTGCAATCCTAAATTAAAATGTTTCATTGTCTAAGAAACCATCTCAAAGACGTGTGACTTCGTCTAACCGTCTGGTGTCGCATCAGATCGAGTGATCCCCTAGGAATTGCCTTCTCTGACAGACATGGCCTGACTTTGATCTATCATAGGTCAGTGACCTTACATGACGCACCCAATTTTCAACACCACAAGCTAGATTACTCCACTGTCTACAGATGTATGTCAGCCCCATTCAAAAGTAACCACCACCTGGCATCCACCAATATGTCAGCCACATCCTGTAATCGGAGTCTGCAAACAGAAATGATTGGTTACTTAGAGTCCACAGCCATTTTCACAGCATGCAGTAATATCTTGGAAAACTTGCATGTCCCCAAAATGCACGTAATAATTCACACAATGTAATATAAAAATACCAGACCTGTGCTTTGGTGGTTGCTAATGTATAACACATTCTCATTCTTCTTAAAAATGTCATCTGCATCTCCATAGAAGAATATCTGTAGAAAGAATGGGAGCATTAGATGACTTCTTCACATAAATGACTTCACCCTAAATTTCAGTAAACAGTACTGGCATGAAACCTTAACTTGCACATTCATTCATCATTTGTCAAGGCCAGTGTGCAAGCACTCTCCAGAAAACAATAAGGTGTGGTTTTAAATAAGCATAACAATTGTTGAATTTAAAAACAAATATATTGCCCAAAATGAATTAACATGCTTCTGAAAAGATGTTGAGGTAGATTTTGAAGTAGCACAATGCCAACAAGGTACCGACATCAATATCCCACAAAAGGACAATAAGTTTTACTACATAACTGGACAAAATAGCATACACCTTGTGTTTCCTTACCTCTAAACCAGTGGCATGTTCAAAGAAGAGGAGAACCAGTCTTTGGTATGTAGAGTAAAGCATATCATCCACCTTCTGATACAGCCAGGCTGGTAGTGGAACAGAGATGAGCCTCCATCCCATCCATATAGCAAAGTATTCAGGTGCTGCACCAACCATGATGCCAGTGGATATAGCATATCGGATGATGCCAAAGCCAGGCAGCTTTGACAGCGACATCGTGTGCTGCAGCTTGCAGTCAGCGATGCCTCAATCAACTGAAATAAGAATATATGTATTATACAAATTTTGTCACGAGCACAAAATGCTGCTGCTCCACAAGATCTAGAACAAGAAAAACGCATGAAGACAAACAGATGTTAGTGGAAGCACATCCTTCCAATAGACAATGACAAAATTTATCAGCATCAAGAGTAAGTTTCATGCTGAATAGAGGGTGGCAGCAGCCGACATGGGCTGGGCAACCGATGTAGTGACTGATATGTCTGCTAGGATTCAGCCAATGGTGAGCCACAGGGTCACAGCCTGCGACAGGGCCACCAGATCCCAGGGGTTGTGGATGAGGACGGGTGTGCAGTCAGTGAACGGAGTCTAGCCAAAGCCTACGGAGTCACGACCCATGGACCCTGCACTCAGGAGTGCTGGCAGTGTGGTGGCTAACGCGTATGCGTTAACCACCGCGCATCTGGGAAACCAGAGGTACGTGGTTCGATTACGGTACGTGGTTCGGTGCCCGCCCTTCCTGCCAGGGTGAGAGGCAGGCGACCGATAAGCCATATAGCCTCAGCAGCTGAAGTGCGCCATGAAGTCCCAATGACTGCACTCACTATTTGATGTCCCAGGACACCAAGCTGGTTTCTCTCAACATAACTTTTTGGCTTCCAGCTTCGAGCTCCTACTCGGCTTCCCCACATCACATCAATCACCCTCAGACCTCCAATGTTGGTGACACCCCAGACAACCTTACCCAACCCAGTAGCTTGTCTTAACCCCACAGCAAAATACAAATGGATTTGAATCGTCACTACCACAATTTAGGGGTGTATTGCAGAGCTCAGTTGCCTTGGACATCCAATTTTTTTTGCACTTTTTTGTGTGCAAGGGGTACAGAAGAGGGATGAAAATCTTGGTCCAGAGCTAGGCTAGAGCCCTACACTGATCACTGATTATGAGGTGATTGCTCTCAAAACTGAGTTAACCCATCCTCCACACATTTTGCTTGTGTGACATGAAGATTGAAGATTTACAAAATTCTTGTTTTGTAGCACCAAAAATATATTTGCCTGCTTAACTGCAATGGATCAGCATATCTCACTATGGTTTTACAGGATAACTGAGATGAGGTGTTACCATACATAAACACTTTTTCAGCTATTATTTTCATTTTGAGTATCTAAAACCATTTTGACACAATGTCTTGACTGTTTTCACACAACTTTTCAGACTTGGTCCTGGAGACATCATGAGGGGAGTTTTAATTGGTTGGTCCTGAGATTGATCTTTTTCTAGCCATGTTTCACAGCCTCAAAAAGTTGCATGGTGCATCAAAATAACAGGATGGATAATACAGTTTTTGTAAAACAAAAATTGCAATAGCAGCAAACAAAGTAGCAATGGTGAACCCAAAGCCTGTTAAAGATCATGTGAAGCTGAGTCCAGTCATTACAGGCCAGGCCAAATTGTGCTGACCACTTGTAGCTATGTTTGATGACAAAGCCAAAGCTGGTCAATCATCAACACAGCCTGAAGCTGAAGCTCAAGTCAGTTGTGGAAAATGACTCAAAGCCAACACCAAAGTAACTAGAGGAGACCTGTGGTTGAACAACACTAAGTTCAAAGCCAGGGTTGGCTTGACCCTGTGCATGCTTTAAAGCACAGGAATATGGGTGTTATAAGGTTGAAAACTGTGCCTTAGCCTCCATCCTCCATCCATGGATATTTTGAAAACCATCTGTCAGGATATCTTACATAAAAAGGCATATCAGTATTGTCAAAAAAGATCTGCAAACCCTGATCCCTGGTTCCAGTTTTTCTTGTCCCATATCTCTCTGTGACTAGAAAGTCCAAGAAACCTCATGATAACTCTATACTTAGTGAGCCTCCAGTATCTCACCTCTTACCAGATCCTCTAACTCTGAGACTACCTGTGTGCTGTCAATTTTCAGGACAAACACAATCAGCATGCTCAAGGATGTAATAAGCTGTCTGCAAGCAAAATGATCAAAATGTATCATGAGGCAACTGGCAAACTGGTCCCGGTCCTCCTGACTGCATGTGCCAAACTCAGGCCATGCACATGCCAAACTCAGGCCAGCCAAATTGTACCTAACTGCCATGCATGCCAAACTCATGCCACACCAAATTGCACCAAACTTTCAAATAGCTTTTTCATGAAATTGTTTCCAGAATATGTCTACCTGAAAGCAGCTTTGCAACTCACAGTTCATGGAAGCAATGGCTCTCTAGGCACTGAAATTAGTGCCTAACTGATGACCATGTGTCAAACTATGAGCTGTGATTTACATCTGAGTGCTGATGCATGATGTATGCGTACTGCAATGTTACCATGTCTGCTGCTAAATCAGAACTATTCAGCACAATATGCATTTTTATAATATGGGTCCTGGACACCTATTTCATCAGTTGTTTTAATTCTAAATGATTTACTTCAAAATGACGTTGCAAAAATTCATGACATTGCGTCTCACTCATCAATACATACTAAACATCCTTTCAGTGATTAGGAGTACATCACTAAAACTACGACTTTTTAATACTTACATGCAATAATGTCGCATTATCGATCCCTCGCAAGCTTACAAGAATTAGGGATCCACAACAACGCACCGAGCTGCGAGAGTAGCACTCGAGCCGAGTAAACTTCCGTGTTTGTCATACCCGCGCCACAAATTATGTTAGGTATGCAGTACTAATTCAATATTTTTAGCATTGCCATGGCCAATACCGCAGCAAAGATATCGCACTGCCAGTTTGATAATTGGTGCGATCACGATCTCCTCCACATATATTGTACAGTTGCTTCTTGATACGCTGATTCCGATCGTTTCAGGTTTTGTTTATATTTTACGTTAATTTGGAGAAGTAGCGTAGCCAGAGGGAGGCACAAAAGCATGTGCTCCCCATTATGTTTCGAGGGGCCCTTCGGCCTCCCTGGGACCTACAATTAATGACCCGATCTGTGAACCCGAAGGGCCCGAGAGGCCAGTCAAAGGCCGTATTCAGGAGCCTCAGCCGGTAGAGCCATACACTCCAATGCCAGCACGCGGTCCTGCGCGCTGATCAGGGGACCCTGAGTCGATGAGGGCCTATAAGTCGGTCAGATGCCACCAGTAATGCGCAGTCTACTCAGCGGTGACATGGGCTTGGAGCACATTTCACAAGCAAGGGAAAAGCCGGAGCCAGCGATTTAAATTGGTGGGGCCCCGCAGCCACTAACAGGGGACCTGTGTAGGCAAGGGGCCCCGAGTCGACCAGAGACAATGTTCAAGGAGGCTCGAAGAGCGTGAAGGGCCCGCCGGGTCCGACAATCAAGGGCCCGACTCATCTAGTCACATCTTAAGATCCCCGCGTTTATAATCGATATCAACTTGAGTATTTCTGCTTGTGCCGCACGTTGCATGCCTTGCATGCAAGGTTCACACGCCTCTTCGCATCTGGTCTAGCTTTTTTTTCTTGGTATGACGTTATTCAGCGATGCTTCAACTTCTACAGCCTCCAACAATTGCGTAACGTTATTGCGCAATAAGTGATGCCCCACCGGTGCATTAGCGGTGATTGAACACAAACCGGTCCCTTATTATCACACCATATAACCACTTACTTAAACGAGGGGAGTCTTTTAGCCGTCTACGTTCGGGATGACTCTTGAAATACACCGACCTCCATTTCGACATAAACATTCAACGGTACAGTCACAAAACCTGACCATCGACTCTAACACGCCAAACCGATAGCGGTAATCAGCCACCACAAAAATAGCAAAAGCCGTGTCGAACATGCTTGACGCGAGTGCTGCTTTCCAGGCTGCAGGGCTGGACAGAACTACGGACCCCGACAGGACCAGCCTGTAGCCCGCAAGACGCACTGCATGCTGATCCTGTCGGATGCTTTCGCTCCAGTCTTTAGCCTTTTTGCATCCTCTTTAACAGGTGGGCGCATCAGCTAACACTCTTTATGCCGGAAGTTGTACACATCCAATAACACGTAATGCCACATAACGTCGAACCTACTTGGATAACCGAGACCTGGCCTAGACTGTTGACGCTTAACAAAATATGAATGAAGCCCGATGAGATTTTCCGTCGAGGCGGGGTGAGAAAACGCAATAGGGCAGGGGTGTGCTAATGCCGGTGTTTCATGAAACATTCACAAAATTAGTACATCGCCATCGGACTGATCGCTTTAGTCGTTACAACTTCGAGGTTGTGAGCATTTCCGTAATCATCATGACTGCGCTATTTCCTCAGCATATATAACTCATTTTCAGGCATGAAACGCGACTGGGGCCCAGGGCGCTTCAAGTTACGGCTCACTGAACCGAGCACGAGGTGTTTTGCACAGCCGGTTCATGTTAAATGTGCACTTAAATGGTTAATATCATTGAGATACCGCCTCATGTGCGTAAATGATTGCACCAACTCCTCACACGTCAGCCGTGCGCATCTCAGCTATTTCAAGCTTATTAATTGATATTCCATTATTAGGGTGTGTTATGTTTATATATAATCTGTATACGCCGCTTCCCACAGCGGTACTCGGGGCTCAGACGCCCGACTCCAGCACGTGGCAGGCATCTGGGTCTGAGTCCGGCCAGTCAGCTGATTGTTTGACTAAGCAGATGCCAGTTGGTGGAGGCCAGAAGTCGCCACAGCTGTATCGCGAGACCGTGTCAAAACAATGGATAGCACGTGAAAGGCTCCCTGGACAGGGGCATGAAAAATGATTTGCTCGACTGGGCGAGCGGCGGTCCCAAGCAGACAACTGCTACATCTTTGTCTACAGCAACCATTTCCCAACCGTTCGGACTGAACAAACCAAGAAGCCCGGATCGTAAACTATGAAAAAAATAGCAACTAAACATACATTTTCGGGAATACTGGTGTCTAATTTGTGATTTAACACGAGCACCACTCTCAAGATAAGAATGGCAAGGCAACACACTTCTTCAAAATGACACTGTTAGTGTGTGTCCAACAAACTTCGCCGCTTGTCTCAGCCTATTCGTTAACGTATGGCACAAAATGGTGACGTTCAGACGAGCACATTGCACAAACCGTGAAAACTGTGAAAACTACCCCTAAAAATCGTCAACACACGGATTTTCTCTGGATTCCGTCTACCTTTATTTTGAAGTTGTGGGGCTGGAGCCTTAATTGAAGCTGAACCCCCTTACTCCAACTGGATAGGAAACTACGCCCCTGTCCCGTTTGCTCTGTCACTGTTCGGAAACAACTTCTCAGAAATTTTGTGCGAGCGCGTACTCTAAAAATTCTGAGGAATGTCGTTTCCTTTCAATTTTATTAAATCGAACGGAAGGCCAAACAAAATACGAAAGGGCCAGGGATATGAATGAACCGCTGAAGGGTCGGCGATAGGTCCTCTGCGCCGAGCGCCCAGCTGTCTCTGCGCGCCAGGCCAATCAAGTCTCGAATCTGGCTGCCCATGTCAGTGGGTATGAATGAATGCCCCCTTTGACGGAGTCAACGCTTTAAAGCGCCGCTCGATATTGATTTCCTTGGTGCGCATGTCCGGAACGAACGCGGGCCAAACGTCAAAGAACGTTCTCGCGGATCCGGGGTGAATCTAGCCTGAAGTTGTTTTTTTTTTGGGGGGGGGGGGGCAACCGTTCGTCGCCAGCTTGCTGGTGTGGGATCCGAGGTCCAGTGCATGGTGTCTCTCGCGAGTACCTAGTAGGGACACCATTCAAGACCGAGAAAAGCACCGAAATGCTTTTGAATCTTGAACAGAAGTTAAAACAAAACAGTTAACACAGTTAAAGTTAAAACAGACGGTAAGTAGACGAAACTTTTATGAAGCTCTGGGAATGTTTTGGGAGGGGGGCCAACACATACTCTCATATATTTTGGGGGGTGGTCATGGCCCCGCGCCCCGCCCCCCTCACCCAGGATCCGCCTATGTCGCGGATCAAAAAGAAAGGAAAAGTATGCGGCCCGTGACGGATATTTTCTCCACGCGCCTAGCACCGGGGCACTCATTGTCTCAGAGCCCTGACCAGTGTTGGCCCTGGTCTTGACCTGGCATGGGAAATGGACCGACACGCAGCCGGGTGTTCGCTGTTGTTGGTTTCTGACTGCAGGGACGGCGCCACGGATTTTGAGTTGGGGGGAAGGGGGGGGGGAATTTTCAACGGCTTACTGGACAAAAAGGGGCCTCCTCATAGGGGGGCTTCCTGGGCAGTGTCTTCTTAGAGGGGAAGCATTATGAGGGCATCTGCTCCCCCCCCCACCCCCCACCCCCTCTATCAAACCGTTGCATGCACCGCATCCAAGTAAATGAGTGTCGACAATTAAACACAACAGGATGGGGCTTTCTGATCGCACAGCGAAGGGTCTCGGTGCCCTAAAACAGAGCATTATTATGTATCGGGGGGCCTCCTAATCCACACGTGATGCTTCTGATTCTCCACATCTAGCCAAGGGGCCCCGTTATCGCACAACAGGACATCCTGCTTCGGAGCCTAGGTCATATGTTGCATGTAAGGAGCCTCCTGTTCCAGACGTTGGGGCCTTCTGAATATAGAGACTGCTTCATAACCCAGAAACGGGCATTCTAGTTCACCTACCGTGCCTACCGAGCCAGCAAAGTAGCCTCTTAGACACAATACTTGGGCCTTCCAATCTAGAACATGGGCTGCTTTATTCATAAAGGTGACCTCATGATCCAGAGAAAGGGCGCCTCGATGCAGAAAAGGGTCTTCTCAGCGAGATGTATTACCCTCCATCTCAGAAGCATCCGTGATCTGAATTTGTGTAACCTGCAGATAGGTACAATGGCTTAAGTGTGGGAAAAGAGTGCCTCCCCAATTTTTTTCGGGGGAGGGGGCAAACATGCTATTGCTGCCTGCTTGTCGGCAGGGGAAACCTTCCTCTCTGAACCCCTCCCCCGTGCTGCATCGCTGTTGTCTGACTGACATAGAAACCCACACTGTCCCAGGATGCTCCGGTCAGCGCAGGAGATTTGAGATTGGCTGACTGACATGTGAAGGCCTGGCCCTGCGGTCGGTCCGGGGCCCCTGAAAATGACCTCCAGCCAGCCTCTGAATCCTTCGAGTCCTTCATTCGAGCCCTCGGTCCCCAGTCCCGAGAGTCCTTAGCTAAAGAGGGGGCATAGCAGCGCTGTCAATTTCTGTAAACCAGTTGGGGGGGGAGGGGGGGGGGGAGGCGAACCAAAGGCTTGACAGCCTGCGACTCTAACAATTGTTTTTTCTTGCCGGATTTAGTTCGCTCTATTTTTACGAAAGGCAATATATGAATTTAATGTTTGCAAAGTTTCCATAAGCCTTTGATTTAAGCTGCACAATAGTCTTGCGAGGGTGGATCAAGGGGGCAGGCACAGGACGCACGCGCAACTGCTGGTCGGCAAGTAAATGCACCCCTTTTGAGGCCACCTTAGGGCGCCGAAAGCGCTCTTCTATGGCGGTCATGGAGGCGGCACGCATTTGGTTGTGGAGGATGGGACAGGGTTAGCCACGAAGGACTTAGTGACTGTGTCGACGTGCACCGTGCATCGCGTGTCAGCGGGGCGACCGTTGCTCTAAGTTCGCTTTTCATACGCGCGCGGGGGCCTCTCAACGCCATACCTCAACCGTTGCCCGAGGTAGCGGTTTACTGCTCTTTGAACGCGTCAAATTGACTGCCACTCAGCGGGGGTTTCTGTTCCGGGCGGCTGTCGCATGGAATTGCTTGCCTCCCACGCCGCCCACCCGCTCGGCCGCCCACCCTTCATCACGGCGTGCCTTCTTGGGTGTTTTAACACGCGCTCGGGTGGCCGGTTGGATGCCCTTCGCTCGGGTGGGGGCCAATTTGAGCCGACTGAGGTCTCAGAAACTGAGAAAGCTAGGGACACAAAATTCCCAGGGCGTGTTAACCTGTACGTGGACTCATTTAGGTCAAATTTTAAGGTTCCTAAGTTATGATCTTTGGGTCAAATAAGGTCAAACACGGTCAAACATCAAGTTGGTCTCCAAAGCGCCCCAAGAGCCTAGATACCAAATCTAAGCCAAAGGTCACACCCTCATTTAAGGTCAGTGACCTTTTTGACCTTTTTGAAGGTCACAGTGACAAAAATCATACAAGGCTGATCTGAGTTTTGCATTTGAATAAGCGACAAAGATTACGCTAGGCAGTTTGTTTCTAAAATCAAAATATTGACCTGGGTCATTTTAGGTCAATGATCTATTCTGACCTTTATTAAGTCCATGAAAACGTGATAGTGAGGTTCCTTTTATCAATAAATTTGAAATGAGCACCAGAAACTGCCCCATACAGCAAGACGTAGAGTAATAAAGCAGGTTACTTTGACCTTGGTCTGACCTTCATACCTGGCCCTAGGTCAATGGAATTTGTTCATTCAATTGTAATGTTGCCTAAGAAAGTATGTCAGAGATGTCTGGCTTCGTCTAACACTCCGTTGTTGCATCATATCGAACGATTCCCTAGAAATTGACTTTTATGAATCCTTGACCTGTCTTTAACCTGTCGCAGGTCAGCTACCTTGCAAGGTGCGTCTAAATTTATGATGCCAAGCGATCCGCTGTTCAATCATCTGCAGCTATGCAAAATGTAGCGCAGCTGCACCGCGCCGTTCGGAAACCATTCCGGAAAAACTTTCGGGGAGGTCAAATTGACCCCCACCCCTGCGCGTGTTAAGAGCATGACTTTGTGACTGAGTAGTTGGCTATGTGCGTGTGTATTTATGCCAACATCGGAAATGCGCTCCTTGCATGCCTTTGTGTCTGGCGTACTGGTATAAAAGCGACTGGGTGCAGAATAGCCGCCATATGGAAGCCCGTCGAGAAACGAAGTGTGAACTACGAACTGTGAACTTAGGTCATTTCCGTATTCCAGAGCTTTTGCCTTCACCTCACACTCCATGGCATGCTAATGGCCCTAGGTGTGTGAGGGTTATTGCATTGTTTATCCGCTCACCTGTTGCGATTTGTGTTTTGTAGTGGGAGCAACCATGACTTTTTGTTACAAGGGGAGGGACGGTCCTTGCGTTGGTAGGCACACAGCTATACACGAGGAACAAATGTCTTTCTGGGGATACACAAATCCCACTACATTAAGAGATCTAGTTAGCGAGTTTGGGGGCCAAGTCATTGGCAACATTACATCTAGCTACCGGTTTGGGGGCCAAGTCATTGGCAACATTACACATCCTTTTCAAACTTTTAATTAGTCTTCTTTAGTTAGCCAACAGCCGTCCCCTCACCTCGCTGCAAAATAGTGCCGTTTTATCAATGTTGTGATTTTTTGTTTATGATTTTTAATTATTTCAATCCATGATTTTCTGCAACATGCGAATCGTGCGCAAAAAAATCGGTCTCAATTTGGCGTCATGCTAATTTGCCATAGCATCAACTATGACAGTGGCCAATACTTGTGTGAGATTTAGGTTAAAAGCGAATTGCTTTTATTACCTACATAAAAATGCAATGTAAAAACAATGATGAGGATGAATCCTGTGTAGAAGATGTGCTTCCTATTAACAGGACTGCCACATGCCTAGTTATTGTTAACAGCGCCTGGGGCGGGTATCAGCTTAGTCGCTATCCCCTTTTGAAAGTTTTCCAAATAATTTATGACCGTTGCGGCGCAGCCGCTCTAACGTCGGTAGTTGCACAGCTATGACTGCAGGAAGGAAGTGTAATGCTATTACAAAGCATTGGCAGCGCAATTTGGACTCGAAAATAGTTAAATTTATGTCTTTATTATCTATTGACGGTGCTGCATTGGCACCTAGCCAGGGCTTTTATGACACGCAACTAGTCCCGATATTTCACTACAGTAGTGTGTTTGTAATACTGCCCTTAGGAGGGACACTCACTTTAAACAAAGCCATAAATCTCTGAAATACTCTCTTAGACAAGTAGCGAATTGAGGTTAGCGTTACGACCAATTCCATAAAACTTGGGTCGGACCGAGGTCAAAACCAAGCTTTTTCACGGGAAAAGAGGTGTAACAGATAGTTTTCGATGCTCCTCTCAAATGCCCTCGATCACAGGGATGTCAGCAGACATCTTATTTGGACTCATTGTGGATCAGAGGAGGTCACTGACCTTAAATGACCGACACCAACCGTTTTGCCGACCGATGCGGCGCAGCCTTCTCCGACCTGTATGACCTGAAGTGAACACCAGTGAAATTGTGCTCATAACAGGTATCTAGGCTCAAGACGATTGTATGAGGAGGTCTGGAGGTACTCGGGAGGACACCAATCCAGATTTGACATTATTTGGCTCGAAGGTTAACAGGCATTTTGACCTAGTTTTGACATCTGACCTAGTCAAATTGAGCCCCTCCGCTACCGAGCGCGTCGCAGTCAAGCGGCCATCCATGCTGGGTCGATTTTTTGTGATTCTCAGGCAGGCGTAAATGTCCATGGAATGGATGCATGCCATTTTTTGTATGCTATTTTAATTTCATGTTGGCTAGCTCTCCCTCAGCATTACAAAGAAGTAGCAGAACAGCCTACAAAAAACACCTCACTTATACATCTACTGCGCAGCGATACGTGCACATAAACAATAATGCGCAATCGTATGCTTAAGCGTTAACTTATACGCACAGTTGCGCATTACCGAGGCACATTTTCCGCTGCGTACGGCGATACACATCTCCTTTGAAGTTTAAAAGTTTCTTTTAAGCACAAATCTGTAAATTCCCTGCGAATCGTAGATTAATGCAGCTACACATTTCAACAATTATAAACACGGCACTTCATATGAAACTCAAAGTGTTCTGTATTTCTGTCACAAAGGTGGGGGCAAGCTTAGATTTAAAGATGCACAAACAATATCAATGTTATCATGAATAGTGGCATGCATTTAGCCGAGTTCAACTGTTAATGACTGATTTCTATGTTGCAGGTGATACCTTTGGGAAACATGTTCGTAGTGTGGCATTTAACAGACATTGCCATTCCACGAACTCGTTAGCCGCAACGCACAAAATTATCGCAAAAAACTATATCGCCGCCAAGACACACCAATCGTCGTTACTGAGGCCCGACTTTGGTAAAGCTGAGTTCAACTTAAGTTATGCTGACCACATGCGTGATGTGGCGAAACGCGCGGTGGAGGGCTCGCCTTCCAGAACAAGTGTTTGCATATGGCTCGCCGAAGAGGGCCGTCTGGCTGCTGACTTGGCGGCGGCAGCCCGATCACAGGGCGCCGATAATCGTACAATTGCATGGCACGGTAAATATCCTTTCGTTTTATTTCGATAAAAACCCGAGGCAGAATGGTTCTCTTAAGCCTTCATTACAATAATGGGATGGTGCTTCGGTGTGCAAGCAATACATTGTTTGTCACCCGGAATCCGACACAAAATCTGCCGAAGCAAAAATTTGGATATGGATTGCATTTATTCTATTGTATGGACTGTTTATCTTATTATTTGGGTGACCTTATATTTTCAAGTAACGATGCCGCAACAAATAGAACATGATGTTACTCGTTTTAATTTTTTCAGACCACGTAGTAAAAAAGTTTGGCTTCAAGTAAAATAATGCTAAAAAGATGAAAAGATAGTCTTTGTGTGATAGTCGTCTCTTATGTATGCTTTTCGTAGCATACCGGCCAAAAACACTGGGGGGGGGGGGGGGGGGCGTGCTCTCACAAAGAATGCTAGTCGACACGCGCGGTGAATGTGCTCCCGGAATCTGTGTCCTGTGCCTCTGGATTTTTGTAAATGAGCAGAATGCTGCAGTTTTTTTCATTGAATCGTCTTAACAATACTGTTGGAACCACAACAATGTTGTGATTGTTGCAAACTCGATATGTTGCTCGATATGTTGCAACGTTATTGGTCTGTCCGTTGAAACCGCAAAAAACAATCGTCATGTGTTTTAGTGTTTGGGTGCATGGGGATAAACGGATGCTAATTTAACGGTATGTTCTATTTAGTTACAACGCTCCTGCTGTACTCTGACGACGCGGTTGACGTGGACGCGTATGAACATTGCCTAGTCCATTGTAAAATAAATCCTGATGAATTACAGCAGAATGAGGTGGCTTGAAAAAGTTCTCCCTAAATATTTAGATACTCTTTGAACGAAATGACCGGAGGATAATTCTCACGCGAGCATGTGTTTCTTTGTGATCTATTTTCCTGCGAACTTTGAAATCACTGAGAGTTCACCGTTGTGACGCGAGAGTTTACGCTTCTGCGGCGATAGCGCTCTTTCGTAAACGGTGTCGGCCTGCGTACTGGCGTGCTTGTGAAGCCACTGGTCTGAGAGGGATATAGATCCTAGGCGCTCTTTGAAGTTTCTTGACAAACCATCTGCAGCTATGGTCGCCAAGCAGCGCATGAGGATACAGAATGAGAAGGCTGGCAAGAACATCACGCTGAGGGGGAACGTACCCAAAACTTCGGTAAGTTCCAGCATTACGGACATCCATATGTTCCCTGACAAATCAACCCTCGGATTTTACGTTTGGGTTATGAAGCTGCAAACTGCAGTGCAGTAATGACTATCTTTATGATGTAGTTGTTACCATGCTTAGTTTTTGGGTCTGATAAACTTGCATGCTCAGGTATTCCACAGAGCTGTGTGGTTTGACCACAGCTGGGACAGCATAAGCCATGATGGGTGCATCTTCTTTGCAATTACTCTCAGAAATGCATGTATTTTGTGCAATGAAACACCCCATTTCAGTGCCTGCCATCACCAGCCTTTGACATCTGGAGTTCATTATGCTTGTACATCCCATTTCCTAGGGCCACAATATTATGGATAGTTCAGTGTTAGTGTCTCTGCCAATAATGACCTAGGGCCTCCATTTGGAGTTACATGCTGCTAATGAAGGGCAGCTCACAACCTTCAGGCAAATAATCCATTGGTCAAATGTACCATTGGGAACAGGTCCCCATTCAACAGACATGACAGCTTTGCAGGGATGCCACCGAACGAGTCTGCAAGACATCATAAATGGGTTGCCTTTGGGGCAATTGTGCACTTAACTCATGTTGGGGTATGGTGAACTGATCAGACCAAATGCACTGCATTCTATAGCTATTGTTGGGTTTGAAATATATGCTCACTTGACCTTGACTGGACAATATCCTAATTCCTTTCAACATCAGCTCCATGCCCTAAAAAATTACTGTTGACCATACATCAAGTTCTGAGTGCCTGGATCTGTGGTGTATATACCCTGGACATGTATCAATGTGGTTGCTGTGCAGAAATGTTCACTGTAACATTGTTTTCAGTCTGGCAGAGATGTAGTTTTACAAAATATGTTGGGGAGGCTGAGCTAGGAAATATTTTATAAGCTTAGCTCAAAATACAACAAAATGATTCTTCACAACATTTGACCCAATTTCTTCGCTTAATCAGGGCTGGGGCTGGAGCCATCCCAACAGGAAGGGGAGCTACACCCTGAAGCTGTGGTTTGCAGTAGACTACCTGTCACATGGTTGTCACATGCAGGTTGTTAACAGATCATTTGTTGCAATATAATGTTGGTTAATGATAGAAGGAATGAGACTGTACTGTAAATATTTTCAAGGCATCTTCGTTCTCAATTAATAAACAGTTGAGGAATTTTGTCATATTGAACTTGATGTCCACAATCTTTTATGGTGTAACTAAGATGGAAGCGGCATAGAAATGTGGAGTGGAACAAACAATTTCTATGTGCCATAGCTTGCATGCCATTTTACACCAACTTTACTGATTGTCATAATACTTGGTGGATGTCACACTTGACAAACAGCATCACATATTTGATTTCAGGTTGTGTTCTGGTGCAATGACACCTAAAAATCTTGGTTTTCAGATTCATGAGAGATCACTTCCTTTTAGATTCACATTCACATAAAATGTAGAAAATGGTTGGGTCAAGCATTTTGCAAATTGGTTGTGTCATGGGGAAGTATGTCAACCAGTGACACTCAAAGTCTGGATGATATTACTATGTCTTGGATGTTTGGAAATGAAGCTTAATGTCACCCAATAGTGTTTTATGTAGTGGTGGAATAATACTGCATACACAGTCTATTTTTAACATGCACTTGATATGAGCAAGAAAGGCCTTAAAGCTTTGGTTTTTGCTACAACCTGGGAGTTGTTACACTGGCAATTATTATACATGTACCAGGAGGCACTGGTGAAACACCATTATAAAACAGGCATTGGGTGTGACAAGCTCACAAGTGGCCTGGAACATGAGCACAGCTGACCATGGTGTGTATGGCACAATAACTGTGATAACAGGGGTCACAGATCATCCTGATTCACTAATGTGTTAGTGCTGGTTCCACTGGTTACTGAAGCCTGACATTCCAGATTGGCCTGACATATGGCTGCTGTGACCCCCCCCCCCCCCCCCCCATGGTCATTCAGCATCGTAGCACCCTATGTGCTTTACCGATATGTTGAGCAACTTGTTTGCTCGCTGGTGTCATGTCAGGGCTGTTCTGTGTTGCTGTCTTGGTCTTGATCTTGCACGCTGATTTGTATGTTTCTTTCCAGAAAGCTGTTGAGGACAAATACCCAGTTGGACCTTGGCTTCTGGCTCTCTTCATCTTCGTTGTATGTGGATCAGGTATGCACCAATGTAGTTTGAACATATCGATTGGATTGAATTCAAGGAACATATGCCGACACTACGCAGTGCTTGTTGGTGACGTCATCTGACCTTCAGCGCGACTGCTGCCACCGGCCGCTGACCATCGCAGTGTGGGGGGGGGGGGGGAGGGGGGATATTGCGAGCGCCTGATGCGGCTCAAACCCACCCTTCCATTAGTGGGTAAAATGAAAAACTGCGCTCTAACCCGCTGACATGCCAGAGCTTTTCCCCGATCATTGTTTCTCGTGCCACGTGCATATTGTAATTCACATTTTTGTGTACTTTAAACCTGAGAAAGTAAAGCAATAGCTGACATGGCGGTGATGTGTAGTGAGTTGTCACGGACTTCTTCATTTATTTATGCTCGGATATCGTGGCAAATGAGACTGTAGCAGGTGCTGAAAAGCAGTCAAAACTAAATGTCCGTTTCTTTTCAGCTATCTTCCAAATCATCCAGAGCATCCGCATGACGTAATGGACCATATTGAAAAGCGGAGTCATTCCATCTCCAAAACAAGTGTGTTCTATGTATTTATTCGGCCAAACTGGACCACATCTTATCCCGGTGGCTGAGATATATGGGTTTTATTAATGATATGGCGGGGCGGGGTATGGCTCTCGGTTCCTGCTGGCGTGTATTTTTTTATACCGAGGATGCACACATAAAATGAAGCACGCCGATGCCGGGCTGCTGCTGCGCCGTGTGGCGGGTCGTTTGCCGTCTCGTTGCCGACCGCGCTTCCCGTGTGTGCCGCACAAATCGCTGCGTCGCCTTTGGCCGCCACAGTCGGCTGGTGCGGCGGCGCGCCGCCGCCGTCCGCTCTCTCCGGGTGCTGCGTCGGCCGAGCCGCGCGCGGCCGGGCCGGTGTCGCCGCCGCCGTTACTCTACTGTCTGCTCTCTCCGGGTGCTGCGACGGCCGTGCCGTCCGGGCAGGGCTGGTAGCGTTTGCCGGCGGCCACGGCGCCACGTCCAATCGGAAATATACCACTGTTGATATAGAGGCGCTGTGTCTGGGACTGAACCGTGGAGCGGGCATGACGACAAGGCGAGGCACACGCCTGGCGAAAGGGACTGTGGCGACCGACGACGATCTCTGAGTGCCAGCTGTAGGAAGCAGACGTGCGCGGTGTCAAAGTCGCGCGGGGACCTAGTCATTCGCAGAAGCTACCCGGTTGACAAAGCTGCGTGACAGTAGCCGCGTGCCGAGCAATAATGACAAGTTCAGACTTAACGGAGGCTTTATGCGTTGGGGTATGGTATGAACCCGGGTGTGACCGGCATGAAACGGCCCAGCCTTTGATATGGCCGGACGTTTGACTTACTTGTTATGCGCTGTGCACCACACCTTGAGATTTAGTCCCGGCTATAGGACGCGAAACGTGAGCGGGCTGAGCAATATGCTGGAACCACTAGGATCGGTAAATGTCAATCATTTTCCAGGCCTCTCCCCATCAGCGAAGTGGTTAACGGGCTAGAATGGGCAATGCTTCACAAGTCAAGTGAGCACTAAATGAGCTCCCTGGGATGCGCGGGGGGCTGTCGAGTTTGAGCAGAGGGACGGATCACAGCTGGGAAGCCCCAGGACTGGGCGGCGCTATAGTGATGGATATGGGTAGTGAAAAATGCTGCCACCTGGCGGCCGTGAAATAGGTGGCGCTGGTATCGCCACTGGTACGTTGGGAGGGGTTGAAACGCTGTAAAAACGCACCGGGCATGAAGCGAAGCGTCGCGGAAACAAATCCGATGCTTATGTTGGGCTAGTGAAGACTATGTTTGCATTGCGAGGTCAAATCATTACAACGGATTGCTTCAAGGAAAACGTGCTGAACGTTGAAAAGTACTGGTTGGACACGACAGCGTTATATGTAGTGTAAACTTATTGTTTTGGAGTTGTGGAGTTTGTCTTAAACAACCGCTATCTACATGACTTGAAATGTTTGCACATTTGACCGTAAGCTTCCAGACCTTTGAGTAATGACATCGTGATTGGTGGATCGTTGAACACAGAGTCAATAGCCCGTCGTGGTTTTAGTCATTATTACGGTCGCACGAACTTGCATGTGGGCTGAATGCCCATTGAGCGTTGATGCTTTTAATCTTTCACCCCGGCGTGCGGTCGGCATACCAGTTCGTAACCACCACGCCGTTCCGATAAAAAGGTCTCCTACAGACAATATATTTGTTGGCATATAGCTGAACAGAAGTGACAGGAGAGACGGAAGGACGCGCCCGTCAGCATGCACCACATTCCAGTCATTCACATTAGGAGCAAGGAACATTTACACAAGCGCTCCATCTTATAACCATTGCTATCTCAAACGCTTGGCAATGTTTTCTGAGATTCATGTTGCACACATCCCTCGTCCAATTACGCATCTGTAAAATCCCTCCACGAGCTACGCGCGCTTTGCAACACACTGGACCGTGCTTCAGCTCGCTAACGCGTATACCCACACGCCCGGTAGAAATTCCGAGCGGTGGTCAACTGCCTGCACTCCGGCCTTCACTCACGCCTCACTAATACTGCTGGCTCCCACTGCGGTGGCGGGGCTGAGGTTTGCTGTTGCGCGGACAGGCGGCAGCACCGTCGCGCTCACAGGTACCCGCTGATAAACACCTTCTGGAAGTCCGGCACACTTCGCGAGTGGTGGCGATACACCTCGCCGTTGTCCAGATACGAGTAGGGAGTGAGCGCCATCGCCTGGTTGAGCGCCTCCACTGAGACGATCTCGCCGCGGTGCAGCACGTGGTCGGCCCGCAGCTCGTTGAGCGCCAGCAGGCTGTGGCCCTGGCGGTGCACGATGGCCGAGCGAAGCGGCGGCTCGCGCGCGCGCCGCCGCGGCGACGTCTTCTTGTAGCGCAGGACGCGCTGCGCGGTGCCGCGCGGGCTGGCGCGCCTCGGCGCCGGTGGCGCGCTCTGCTGGCGCTCGCCGGCGCCGGCCAGGTCGGTCTCGCTGTGGCAGGGCACGCCGTAGCAGGACATGCGGCATGCGGCGCCGCCGGCCGCGCGCTCCTCCACCGCCGCCGGCACGCCCACGGTGTCCAGGTCGTTCATGGAGAGCGCCAGTTTGCGCTTGAGCGAGCTGACGGCGGCGGCGGCGGCGCGCGGGCGGCCCAGGCTGGGCCGCGGCGGCGGCGCCGGCGGCCCGCCCTCCACGCGGATGGTGACGCCCGAGGCCGTGGAGCGGATGCTCATCTGGTCGCCGCGCGTCGACGCCGTCGGCGGCTCGCACGGCGGCCGCCGCGGGCTGCAGAAGCGCTTGGAGCCGCGAAATTCAAAGTCGTCGTTGGCGATGGTCGTGGCCGAGTTGCAGCGCTCGGGGCTGCGCCGGCCCGTGCTGAGCGTGGCGTAGATGGGCTCGTCGCCGGGCGGCAGGCACTTGATGATGCTGTCCAGGCTGGCGGTCTTGGTGAGCGGGTCCGAGTAGAGGGGCTCGGAGCGGGCGTCGCCGCCGCCCGCCAGCCGGCTCGGGTCGTACAGGGTCGGCAGGAAGCGGGGCTTACCGGTCGGCTCCCCCAGCATGCCCACGCCCATCTTCATGCAGCGGGACCGCACTGAAACACAAGGAGATCGGGGCTTGAAACAGCCAGGATGAGGCTTAACACAGTCAGGATCGATCGGCTTTTATGCAAACGCGGACAGATGATGGTTAGAGCAGCGCTGACTCAAACGATGCCCGTCACTAAACTGGGACCAAGTCGCACACAATGGAATCAGCCGTTTACAGGAGAAACTGACGTCGGGCTGTTAGCGAAAACCAGCCGTCAATTCAGGATGCTGCGCTGAAGCTGGAACACGTGACCTGCTGGAACACGTGACCTGCGTGAGCTGCGCTGAAGCTGGAACACGTGACCCCCGTCCGGGGAGAGCGTAAATCACCGCGACGCATGAAAGCACCGCGTGCGCCCCGCCATTGACTCCAACCAGCCCGAGGACAGGAGTGACTGATGACACAGTGGTATGGGGGGGGGGGGGGGGGAGATAGCCGACTGAGCGTCGCTGCGTACCTGCGTGGAGCGAAGCGCCGTCCTGCAGGGAGAACAGTGACCCGTTTGTGATTGGAAACTTGGCCTCGGCCGACTGGTGCGACTCCTTTCCGCAGCTGCGAAATGGATCGCCACCGTCGCCTGGAACAGGACAAACGGGCCGGTAAAGAAACCACCCATTTCGTCGCCGGCTGCCGGATCCGTTTCCGTGATTCCGTAATAGGAAAAGTCAATCGTCAAACAAGTAGCGTTCTGTGTGGTCCCTGGCCCCTGGTATTCTGTATCGTTAGCCCTTGGTCTTGTGTGGTCCTTGTTCCTCGGTATTCTCAGTCCTTGGCGTGATGTCTCCTAGCCTATTCTCACACTCTTCATCAACTAGTGCGGCATCTCCTTTGGTGCGAGTAATGCACGGTGCGCCCATGCTAGTGCATGCGTCTGAACTCCTCAGATGTGAGAGCGCGCTGCAAAAGACGAAGCGGTGATTCGAACATGGGCCGGTCTGAAGCGGAAGAGCGCTCATTTCAAGAAGACATTTTGCTTTGCTGTCGTGTCTGACCGACCGCCGTGCTAAATCACAGCGTTATGCAATCATATTGTGGGACCCTCTGCTCTTCCGGGACCTTGGGCATGCTCGCAGCCGACATAAATCGTACTGCCAGGCAATAAACTTGTTTATTCGGAAACAAACGTCCGTAATAAGGTTGGGAATGGGGCGTGGCGGAAACTTCGCAAGCGTCGAGCTCTGCACGTAGGCTGTCTCCTAAAATGTTTGTGCTATGTGGGGGAAATGTCCTCTCACAAGCCATTAGTGCACGCCCACGAAATGTCAAGAAACATAACACTTCATGCCTTTACAGGATTGATTCTTCTCCTCATAAAACGATTGCGTCTATGACAAATAGTCTCTAGCATGAGTGACTCCGTAAACAGCGCGACAGGCGGCTGGCGGACGGGGCGGATTGTTAATTAAGCATATCAGTTAATTAAAGCACAGGCTTCGTCGCCTGGCATTCTTCCTCTGGCGAACTTCGATCTCATTATAAGGCAAACAACGCGTCGATATGGCGGATCACCGAGCTATTAATCACGATATTACGTTCACCAAAATGAGTAAGGCCTACCAGAGCGTTCTTTCATTTTCTCGAACGAGGTGAAAATTGTATTCTAGGAGCATTTTAACAATCTCCCCCCCCCCCCCCCCAATATGTTGAGTCTGGAGGCCAGTTGCCGTTTTCTCATTTCTTCTGCTCACGCCGCTGTAACGCTATAGCTAGAAGTATGCCCGCAGCCTGGTACGGATCAGTTGAGCATGTCAGCCTCCCAAAGGGTTCGCCTCAAGGATGCAATCTTTCTCGAAATATAGCGCCGTAATTAACAGCTGGCAAAAAGACAGATGGCATATCACGACTTGGTAGCACCACAACGTTCTACGCGTGCATCTAAAAAAATATTGCCCTGTGAAACCAGTGCTTTAAATACCGGGTGAGGTACACGCCTGCCTGTCGGCAAGGACCTGGTCAAGTCAGGTCAGGGCCGCAAACTGGGCCGTCGCTCCAGCTGCCGTTAGCGGGCAGGTCAGGTCAGGGCCACAGACTGGGTCGCCACTTCAGCCGCCGTTGGCGGGCAGGTCAGATCAGGGCCGCAGGCTGGGCCCGCCGCTCCAGCTGCCGTTAGCGGGCAGGTCAAGTCAGGGCTGCGGACTGGGTCGCCGCTTCAGCTGCCGTTGGCGGGCAAGTCAGATCAGGGCCTCAGACTGGCCCACCGCTCCAGCTGCCGTTGGTGGACAGGTCAGGTCGGGTCAGGGCCGCAGACTGGGCCCGCCGCTCCAGCCACCGTTAGCGGACAGGTCAGGTCAGGACAGGACTGCAGGCCGGCCCGCTGCTCCAACTGCCGTTAGCGGGCAGGTCAGGTCAGGGCTGCGGACTGGACCGCCGCTTCAGCCGCCGTTAGCGGGCAGGTCAGGTCAGGACAGGACTGCCGGCCGGCCCGCTGCTCCAGCTGCCGTTAGCGGGCAGGTCAGGTCAGGACTGCTGGCTGGCCCACCGTTCCAGCTGCCGTTAGCGGGCAGGTCAGGTCAGGGTTGTGGAATGGGCTTACGCTCCAGTTGCCGTTAGCGGGCAGGCCAGGTCAGGGATGCGGACTGGGCTGCCGCTTCAGCTGCCGCTAGCGGGCCTCACTCCGCCGCTGCGCACGCGCCTGACGTGTGTGCTGGGCCCCACTCGCTGTCTTGCATTTGTAATTGCACGCAAGCGTCAAGCCGTTTGTGAAGGATTGGTGCGGATGGCCTTGGCTGCTGGCGTGCTCGTCCTGAATTCTGAACAGCGTGGCCTGCGGAGTCGACTGTAGGATTGCTTGCGACTGCCAGCCGACGTTTGCCGCCTGGCGATGAAACATTCAGCTTAAATCGACATTCGAAGTGAGAGCTTCTCCTTAAGACTCCCCCTTACTGCGGTCACAAGGTAATTTACCTCGGCTGGGTCAGCGTGGGTACTAAAAAAGGCCGCCTTGGTCAATTCGTTACACCTCAATCGCCATACGAATTGTCGAACCTAACTGGCGACGGGGTTAATGGATTGCTAACTGCTGAGGTTATTTTCATGCTCCTTGAACGCTGCCTGGCAGCGAGTTATTGCCTACCATTTCATTCGCCCATTTAGTATATGCGAGTTGTGCAACGTACTACATTATAACATAACATTTTATGTGCCTAAGACGTCCAGGCCGTCCGCATCGGCACTAGACTTGCTGTTGACCGGAGCCCAAACGGAGGGTGCCTGGGGAAACTATGCCTCACTGTCCGACACGGGGCCGTTTGCCGGCCAAGATAAGGAGGTCGATGACCTGCAGCAGCTGTGTGCAGCGAGCACGACTCTGGGCGAGCTGCAGTGTCTGCGACCGTCCGCACATGACGATCGTGTGATGGCCTGACTGACGGTCGGTTAACTGTGCTGCTGCCGTGCGGGCGTGTGAATGCACGTGAGAACATTAGATGATTTACGCACTGCCCATTGAGCAGCATAGCCTCATCACAAGGAGACCGCTGACCAGTCATGGACTATCAGGCCTTCAGCAAAGGAGCTGAAGCAAGCTGTGGTGGTCGTCGCTGCCTGCATGGTGGCACACGTGACTGTCCTGCGCAACGTTCCGCTTCCGCAGAGAAGCGAGCCCACAGCGCCCAGTGCCCCGCTCGCAGGTCCACCTGGCTGTCGCGGAACGACACATGCCCCGACGGACAACTTTCGGCGCCGGAATGCCCCCGATGTGGCCGGGTGGCGGGCGTTTTTGCACGTCTGGCTGTGCACGCCCGGCACCGGTGACTGCCAGGCCGGCCCGGCCGTCTAAATGGGTCAGCCGCGGCCGCCCGGCGCCGCAGGAGCCTCCTGCCCGAGAGAGCAGCGGACGATGAGACGATACGGGACGAGGCGAGACGAGACCTGACGAGATGGGAGGGACGGGGCGGGATGACATGGGATGGCATGAAATGAGATGGGATGGGATGAGATGAGATGAGATGAGATGGGATGGGATGGGATGGGATGGGATGGGATGGGATGGGATGGGATGGGATGGGATGGGATGGGATGGGATGGAACGAAACAGAACGAAACGTAACGAAATGAGGCAAAGTAAAAACAAAACAAAGCAGAACAAAACGAAACGAGACGAAGCGGGGTGGGACGGGACGGGACGGGACAGGGCCAGCAGGCTGAGACGAGACGAGAGAAGACAAGACAAGGCAAGACTAGAGGCGAGACGAACGAAGCACTGCAACCTTGTTACCATCTTTTTGGGTATGGAGCCCACGAAACACTGGTCAAACGCGCATAAAAATGTGCATATTTCACTGCCAGGGGAGGTAATACCAGATTTGTTCTTTACTTCAGGCGAAGTCGCAGGACACCCTGGAACTTGCATACTTTCTATATGATTACTTTCTTTATACCTGTTGCATAATTTCGGGGGTGGCTTGGTCCTCCATGCTAAATTGAGTCCACTCAATGCTCTGCTGAGTCTCTAATGCATATGCGCAAAAAGGAATACTTGGTCAATTAAATGCAAGAAGCGTCGGAACTGCTGGTTCACTGGGCCCCAAACGCACCACCATGTGTATCATCATCATCATGCATGATAATCATCACTATCCGATCGGCTTCAAATGGGGCTCATTCCTCAACTGCGAAAAAAAGCTTGGAACCAGCCAGTTAAAAAAAAAAAATGTTTAGTTTTGACATCCCGGACGCAAATCAAAGCGGTCGAAACTCGGGGAGAAGTGGGGATTGGAGGGCAAGTTAGGTCAATTTTATTGACTCAGCCACCCGAACCAATTTTATAAAGCGACATCCGCGCCCTGGAATCAACTAAATGATCTTGGAATTATGGTGGAGGCGACTCCTCTAAAAGTGCAAGTATCAGTATAGATATCCCTTGGAACTGGATCAACCAAGCCGGGGGAAAGTCCGTTCACATTTATATGTAAGCAGCGGGACGCGTCCGCAGTTTGACAGCCCGTGTGCGCACCAAATGGAGTACAGTTATAGACTAACGGACGAAAGCTAAATGTACAAATGTAGCAGTAGCATCGACGGCCTTTAAATGCCGAGCCACACCAGATGACCTGTCAGACGCAAAGCTAATGCCGCTATCGTACCTCGCACGTCAGCTTGTCGCTACACACCCAAAATGTTTCGAGACATCCGCCAGAGCCGCAGGGGAGTGCTAATTGTTGGTGGTGCGCAGCGCAAAACATTGAGCGAATGAGCCCCGTTCCTGTTCGGCTGCTATTTATTGTGCATGCAAGCTATGCGTCTGTAAATCGTGCAGATGAGATGCGGTTTAGCCGCAGACGTCTTGATCACGGATGAGAGACGATGTTTTGTCTCAGGTAAGATATATTGCTTTGGGAAGGGGAACTCATATATCATTAGAGTAACCATTAATAAACTTCCAAGGCGTTTGCTGGGATGTGTTTACGAATACAGGAGAATAGTGATGCGGGCTCAATAAATAGCTGGCGCACAAGCAATTTGTGCAGCTGTTAAGGCTATTTGTTCGCCTGGATTCCGGCAATACTGCACGCTGACGAACACCGCAAGCCATCGACGACTGCTGTGAACAGTCACCCTCCGTCGCCATGACAACGGGCAGTTGGTCCAGCCGCGGCTCTGGCTGCGTCCGCGGCCTGGCGGCGCTCTGGGCTCGCTCTAGGCTTGTGCGCGGGCCGTGACGAGCGCGGGGCTGGCTGGGACCTACCTATGTGGGCCGCCAGCCGGAACACCGCCGCTCATTATCGCCCGCTCACTGTCAGAGGGCCCGGGATTACCTGCCCCAGAGGCCGCGGCCGCACAGCCACAGACTGCGCACCTCCGCATGGCTAGCTCGAGTCAGTCACAGACTGCACACCTCCGCATGGCTAGCTCGAGTCAGTCACAGACTGTACACCTTCGCATGGCTAGCTCAAGTCAGCCACAGATGACGTACCTCCGCATGGCTAGCGTGAGTCAGTCACAGACTGTGCACCTCCGCGTGGCTAGCTCAAGTCAGTCACAGACTGTACAACTCCGCATGACTAGCTCGAGTCAGTCACAGACCGCACACCTCCGCATTGCTAGCTTGAGTCAGTCACAGACTGTACACTTCTGCATGGCTAGCTTGAGTCAGCGCACAGGTTCGTCACACGTTGGTCTAAAGACGCGGCCTAATTGATTTAAGTCGGAAATAAGTTCCGATTAGCCCGAGGTTACATTCCAATGGTTGGACAGGTCCCAGACTAAATCCATGCTATTCTCCTTTGGTGCTTGGCGATTTCCCACGAGCGAGTGTCATGCCACTTCACGTGCGTTCGTAATCGTCATCGACTTTCGGCATTATTTCAGGTAACTGTGTGACTTGCGCAAGCAAGAAATGCGTGTCATCCCACCTGTCGTCGTATCAAGAACGGCATTCGTATCACTTTCTCTCACTTTAGAAAGAGCCAGAAGGGCTTCTCATACACAGCCGCGAAGAAAGCCTGTGTCACGTGTTATGCAACTCAGGTTTAATATGCAACGCACGCAACGCACACACGAAATTAATTGAACTGACGGACCCGTCGGATGTGGGGACGGGAGCGAGTCGCAGCGCAAATTTGAGACCGGACCACAGATGGGGGATGTTAAAGAAAAAGGGCGTGACGAAGCTGGCGAGCATACTTTCTTTGATCACAAAATGTTGAAATGCGCAAATTTCAACGGTCTTTTTGGCGCGACTTGCAGAACACCTGTCATGTCTCATTGTTCCATCACAGACTGCACACAATTAGCGTGGCATAAACTGTAGGCATGTGTGTAGTATCATAGAAATGCTGGAAATCGTCAGAAGCCACCTTGTTTGGGCGAAGATAACGCCAACGATGCATAAGTGTGATGCGTCTGCGAATTCGGCGGATGACCGATTAAGGGCATTCTCGAGACCGCGACAGCAGTCAGCGTGAAGCCGCCTTGATCTAACGCTCGGGAAGACGTCATGGTGTGGCGCGCACTTCTATCAACTCACATACGTTAGGCACATATCAGGTGATGTGTAAGGTCTGCTTACCCCATCGTCTTGGGATAACTAGAGTGCCCCACCCGAACCGCTGCTGGGGCGCTGGGAATCCTGTGTCGATCAAAGGGAAGTGGTCTTTTTAAGCCCCCAGTGCTGCTGACATGCGTTTCTCAAAGCTTTGTTCTGCCATCGCGTTTGCTTCCGACAACCTCTCTACGGGACGATCCAAGGCGAAAAGGCGACGGTCAACACGTCGACCTCTCCTGACGAAGCCGTTCGAGGGGCACGCGTGCGCCCTGCCCAGGCGTCAACAGGTCACGCCGCGCCGCCACGCCGCCGGCGCGCCGCCCACGCCCCCATTGTGTCCCGCTGGAATGCTCGTCTGCACATTCCACTCGATCTTCCAGCCACTTGAGCGGCGGCCGGAGGCAGGCGGTGCGCGGCCGGCGCGCGGCTGCCGGGGAGCGGCGGCGGCGCCGGCGCGGCGCTCGCGCTCGGCGGCGGCGACGCTCGGCGCTGGCCCCGAACACAGCCGGAAGGTTCCCACGGCCAGATAGCGTCGCCAGCTCACGATGCGTGAGCTGCGTCGGCAGGCTGCACAGGATGACGTCAGCTCGGGGAAAGTGCGGCGACGCGGTCGAGCCGGCCACGCAGGCCAGAGGGCTGACATTTGTCGGCTGTGGCTGCGATAACCTTGGGAAGGGGTGCGGGGTGGGGGTGAGAGGATACGATTAACTCTTGAGACATCGCACCGTATACTGAAATATTAGTGCTCTTGTTGCAAGCTAAGTGCACAGCACAAGGCTGGATGATTTGTGGATAGCTAAGCCCTGCACGTTATGCAAATAATCCTTCGTGGTAATGTGCATAATTATTTTTAGTGCAAATGTCTGCATTCGTTGCCAATCATTCCGAGATAACCGTCCCTCCAAACCTTGTTAACAAATATTTTCAAATAGCCTTCGCATCGGTGATCCGAGGTCCCATATCAGAAGACATCTGAAGTGATAGTGATTTATCCGAGGCTTCACTGCTGACATGCCCTTTGTGGACCTCAAACCTGGTGGCCTTGCGTTAGTCGAAACCTGGGAAATTCCGTCTGTTAATGTCTCCAGGACTACAGGAAGTTCACGACAAGCCGCCGGACAGACAGTCATCTGGGGGCCTGCTCCGATCCTCGGCCTGACCATCCAATCACGCCAGACGCCTGGTTACACCGTCAGGCGGAGTGCCAATGCCCCCCCCCCCCCCCCTTCGGAGTCGGGGGGTCCTCGGCGCGCAGCCGCGCAGCCGGGCCTCACCCGTGCAGAGGCCGGGGTGGGGTTTGGTGCGGGGCCGGGACCTCACCTGTGCAGTCGTCGGCGTGTGGTTTGGTGCAGGCGCCGCGGACGGCCAGCCGGAGCAGCGGGTCCACACAGAGCAGCAGCGGCACCAGCAAGATGCCCTCGGCGACGCTCAGCCAGACGGCGATGACCTCCATCGGCCAGTCGGGAAGCAGCTCCGGCATGAACGTGCCGAACACCAGCAGCACCTGCGACGGACGGGAGCAGGTAAGTCAGATACAGCTGTACTCACGACGTCAGTTGGGCAGCACCTCCCGCAGGAGCGCGCCACGCCAGCAACACATGCCACTGAGGGAACAAATGACGTCAGATGCAGATGCACTGATGACGTCAATTGGACAGCGGCTCCGACAGAAGCATGCAGAACATTGACAGCACCTTCCACGGCCGGGTGGAGATAACATTATACACAAGGACTCTAACCGTAGACAGGAACAGGAAGACATGGGAGGTTGGTCAGGAAGGCAAGGCCTGGCAATAACAATATATTGCAACAGGCATGGGTGCCACCAGCATGGTCTGATGGTCTTATGTACGGATGAAGCATCTTTTCTTGTCCTCTGAAACTAACAAACTGGGCGTTTTCTCTCAGTTGCGGCAGCGACAAACGCTGTTACAAAAGAGGTTAGAAGAAATGTAAGACTAGAAGCAGTGGATTCTTGGAGGATCTCCCTCATACTTGCCAAATAGGAGCCTCCGCCGTAAAATTGCGTTAAACGTTTGGGAAGCCATCAAAATGTTCCAATCCATATACAAGTAATTCTCCAGGCATGTCTTTCCCAAAACCGTCCTACATAAGCAATTGCGTGGTTTCGCCATCTGCTGGTAAAGTTTTACACTGGAATAGCACCAACACTTTCCCCGGTAGTCATCATCGTTAGCGTCTCTGGAAACAGATAACGTGGTCGAACGCAGGAAAAGCCGACAAGCAGATTCACAAGGCATCTCCATGCACCATTGTCCCGGCCTGACAATGGTGCAGACTGCCGCGGCACGTTCTCATTACGAGATCCGGTTAAACGCCGCGGCGGCAGCGGCGGATGACTGGCAGCCGTCACGGCGGCGGCGGCGGCGGATGTCCCGCGGCCGCCGCCGCCACAGCCGCGGGGCGCCCTCGCCGGCGAGTCGTCGCCCGATTCCCAGGGGCACCGCGGCCGGGCGGCCGGCCGCGCCCCGCCGGTCGGCTCGGCAGATGGGGGTCCAGTGCATCGGCGCGGCGAGATGGAGCTTTCACTGGGCCTGATGCCAAGCACGCTCCCTATAAAGTGCAAATGAAGTATGGCCGTGGGGCGCTTGGCATCGACGCCGAGGGCGTTGCCTGATCACCCTGATGCACCTTTTGTCAGAGTTGTTCATTCGGGCTGACCCGGTCGGCTCATACCAGGCGGCATCGGCGATCTCATCTGGCAGCCCTGCGTGTAAGCGAGCCATTCACTTCGGAGATAACCGATCTACAACAACAACTTTCAATCTACCCGTGCCGGAATGAGACCGACGACTGCCGTCCGGTACGAGGAGAGCAGCGCAACTGAAGGAAAATACCCTGCCAATTCGCGGGCGGCACGACATCCTTGCGAACGTCGACTTGCTTCACCAGAAAATCACGGACGAGCACACGCCACGCTGAAGCTGTGGCGGTTTGTTCAGCCCCAGTGGGCCGCCGCGCAAGCGCCAGCGGATTTCATTTTAGTTCGCTGCCCCACGCCCACCGATTCCGGTCCAAGGAATAGGCCTGTTGTCTGCCGCTCGCACGCCTGCCGCGCCGCGCCCCTGCACCAGTGCTTAGCTCGGCGTGACCCTTCGGCGCCTCCCCGGTCCGATAATGACTCCCTCGGGCGTCGCCGTCTCCGCGTGACCCGGCTGGCCCGCGCCGCCGCCGCTACCGCTGCCGACCGACGTTACCCGTTCGCCGACACCGCTCGGCGCCGATTGGCCGTAATTTGGCCCATCAGGGCCCGGCCTGCGGTCGGCCGGCCGGAGATGGGTCGGAGGGCGGGCGGCCGCGGCCCGCGCCTGCCTTCCGGGGCCGCCACTGCCGATCGTCGGCCCTCAGCCGCCCGCTCGAGCAGGCCCTCGCGCGGTTATATATCGGTGTGGCGACCGCGGAGCAGAAGAGCCGAGCTACAAGAGAAACAACATGTACCGTAGCGCAGGGCGCGCCGCGTGTGGCGACCGGTGTGGCGACCGCGGAGCAGAAGAACCGAGCTACAAGAGAAACAACATGTACCGTAGTGCAGGGCACGCCGCGTCTGACGGAACGCACCGCACGTCACTGCACGCCCTGCTGTGGAGAGCTGGTGACTGCACTGGTTACATTAGCGTTCAGGGCGGTGACCACCTTGTAGCAGCAGCCGCCGAATGAAGCGTTTATCACTTATCCAGCGCCAGATACCCTGGCGTAACAGCGGTCTGTACGCGGCGTGCAGGGCTGGCTGCAGCGTCTCCAGCAGCGTAGCCTCCGCCTTCGCCTGACGTACTGGAGAGGGCAGGCAGGGCCTGTGGGTTTCTGTGCTAATAGGGGAAACCTGCTGGGAGGCAGGCATCAGGGTCGCTTCGTCAGTCACGACCAATGGGCGATTCTGGGAAGACACCGTCCGGGATAGGGGAATGGAATCCAGATGCGAATTCAGCGCCGCTCGAGCTTCATCGACTGACCGGAAGGCTAACGCCGGGTGCGAGCGCCACGCAGAAGTAATGCGGCCCACGCGCAGAATCTCCTCCATTCACATTCGGCATGCAATGACGGGAAATGGGATGCTTGATCCGTCCCCTGGCCATCGGCTATCTATTATGCTGTTTTGCTTGTGCATGTACCTCCTACGAAACATCAAAACTCGCACCGTTAGAGCGCGTCCTCCTAACAACGTGTATGGTCGGGCCCCGTGGGACCGCCGCCAGTGTGTAACATAATAACGTTGATGCATCGCATCTTTCGCTCGAACCGTTACACAGTTTGTGGCGTTTGCAACATCGTAGAAGAAAACCACAGCGAAAACAAAATCCCCGCTTAATGTCATTTTACAGCAAAGTCAGGCGTCACGCGTGAGCTGGACGTGTGAGGAGGCCTGCCATTTGGAAAGCATAAACTCGTTTACCGACTGAAAACGATGCGATGCAGATCCCTGCCTCTCGATATCTGAGGCGCCAGGCCATGTCTCAAGGCCTCTAAGAAGAGCTGTTCCCACTGGATCGCTCCGCTACGCTGCGCTCGGTGGGAGGGCGAGCCACAGTTGGCCAGGGGCTGACACCGACCCTCGCCGGGACCGGGCCACAGTCAACAGAGACTGGCTCCGACCCTCGCCGGGACCGGGCCACAGTCAACAGAGACTGACACCGACCCTCGCCGGGATCGAGCCACGGTCGGCGGAGGCTAGCTCCCAACATTGCCGGGACCGAGCCACGATCGGCGGGAGCTCACACCGACCCCCGCCGGGACCGAGCCACAGTCAACAGAGACTGGCTCTGACCCTCGCCGGTACCGAGCCACAGCCAGCCAGAGGCTGGCTCCGACCCTCGTCGGGATCGAGCCACAGTCAACAGAGACTGGCTCCGACCCCCGCCGGGACCGAGCCACAGTCGGCGGCGGGGGAGGCCGGGTGTGGCGCCGGCCGGCCGTGGCCAACGGGGCCGGGTCGCCGGGTCAAAGTCGTGCGCCAGTCGGGGTGCGTGTGGCGTCGCGGTCTCGCCGCGTGGGGCCGCCGGCGGGGCCTCCTGGCGGACGGCGTCCGTCAGGTCCGACGGCTAGTCGGAGTCGGCTGTCGGGACGATGAAGCGCCAAACCACTCAGTCCCATCACCGACGAGACAGCGAGAGAGGCTGTTACCTACGGAAAAATACAGCGAACGTAACGGTGAACTACCCTCGTCTCCTGCTCTCCCCAGATGGCAGTGTTTGCCGGCGACCCAGCACTGGTCGTCGATGTGGTGGTGTTCTGTCAAAGACACTGCGGAAGGGACAGGGCAGAGTGGGAGTGTACACTGAGTGAGAAGCTGCGGAAGGGACAGAGCGGGGCTGCGCACTGGGCAGCAGCTGCGAAAGGGACAGCGCAGAGCGGGGATGTATACTGGGTGAGCAGCTGCAAGAGGAACAGGCGCAAAGCGGGACTGCACACTGGGTGAGCAGCTACTGAAAGGACAGGGACAGAGCGGGGCTGCACACTGGGCAGCAGCTGTGGGACGTGACTCGCCTGCTAACTGGCCGTGTCGCCAGCTGTCGTGTCACGGCGCTGGCGGAAATGATGAACATTCACCGTGAATGAAAATATAATCGGCATGGAAGGGCACCAATTATTCGCGGGATTTCCCCATTGTTTGCGCGTTGCACACGTGCCGAAAGCGCTTTCGCCCTGTCTAAACGTTTGTTGCGTAAGGACGAAATAATTCTAAGTATGATCCTTAACGGATCTTAACTGGTAAACGTGGTTAGCACATAATGCTTATTGCATAAACCCAAAAGGAGCGATCCTCTGCTCCGATGCACTTGCTGCGTAGCACATGGAAATGCTTATCGCAACAGTGAATGTTGCACGAACTGCAACCGGCCACGCATGCAGTGCATTGCAAAACGGCTTCGACGCCACAACGGTGACGGTCGAACGTCGTATGTTGCAGTGTAGTAGATGCATACCCCAGACAGGATTCATGCAAAACAGACATTCCCAGCGGAGCTGAGCAAATGCTGATCAGTCAGCGCTAAGAACAAGACCGTTAGCCGCAGGCACCGCACCGAGTGCCTGGTCCGCCGACGAAACAGCCCAAAAACTAGGCGCGCCACGCCTATGCTGTAATCTCGACCGCAAACCCCGGCCGCCGAAAACAAGGGAAGCAGTACTAGCCGCGCATCCATTTTCGACAAAAACGCCGGCAATTTGGCGGAAGCGGGGCGGACCGCAGCGGCGGCCGAGCGCCCCGGCCAGCTGAGGTGGCGTCCTGCGTCCGGCGGCGGGTCCAGCGGCGGCTGAACGCCGAAACTGGCACGCGCGCCGGCCGCGTCTCGCCCGGTCTTCCATCAGGCGGTGACGGCGGGCTCCGCTCCGGCCGGCCGGTCCATGTGGAACGCGCCGAACTGGGTCCACGCGTCGGCCCCGACCTCGCCGCGCCACCGTTCGGCTTTGTGCCGTCCATATCGGATGATCTGCCCCGCGTTCCGTCGCAACGCTTTTTGTGTGGTCTCGTTTTGTGCGCTGTAG